GTACTCTACTGACAGTACAGTAGAGTACAGGACTGGCCTGATTACGCTTTAATAGGTTGGCTGCAAGGTCTAGTATTATTTCTGCTTAAAGGACGAGCAGGGTTTGAGATCAATACTTGGAGTTTTGTGTCTTAGTGAATTTTGATCGTCCAGTGTTTATGTTTGTGGATGTGTCTCTTTAAAGGAATGTGTAGCGAATCAGCTCATGTGAAATATGAGGGTTACCATGGAATCAGGGGCCTGTTCCTGGGGTGTTACAGAGTATTTGTTAAATCTAGCTAACAAAATATATATTGTGTGTTTGGGTGGTCCAGACGCTACAAATGATTCACCAAAGAATTCTCATCATTTACTTACCCTCATGTCATTTTAAACATTTTCCTCTGTGCAACACAAAAGTAGACATTCTGGAAAAAGATTTTCTTATTTTAATAAAAGTCCAATGTTGTTTTGGACCAAACTGGCTTTCATTATATGCATAAAAACAATAGAAACACCATTTCAAATATCTGCTTTCTTCTCAGGAAAGAAAGTCATACAGGTTTAAATGATATGAGGGTGAGATAAAAAAAAAATATCTAGTTTAGTCATTAAATTTTAAGATAGATAGATAGATAGATAGATAGATGTACATGCAATCTGCTAGCAATCACATAATTTACTGCACAACACAAGCCGACTGGCTTCTGCTGAAGCAAGCAAGCCAATGATTCTTCAGTCTTTGCAGCAAGTCTCTCTGAAACCCTCCAGCTCCACCTGTCTAGATCTGCTATGGGATTTATGTATGCCTATATCTAACGTGCTCATAGCAGCCGTAATGTTCAAGGCAAATCTAGTTTGTCAAGACCAAATATATTAACACTGTCATATCCATTAACATACCATTATTTGTCTGTGTAATTGAAAGCAGTCTGTGCAGTAATATGTAGTGTACAGAGACCATACATCTGCTGCAGGTGTTTGCTGGTCTGACATCTCTCAGTACCTGTTAGAGATATAGAATTGCATTTTTTGCACTTCTTTCTGTTCTGTTCTTTCTCTTCCCATTTCCTGTGGTGATTGTAAGTGTACTGGGGTATTTTCAACACACCAGGTCTCTTTAGCAGCATTTTTATGGAGTATCACACAAGTCCCCCAACTCATAGCTACATAGCCATTTCAAAACAGACCCGTTCAGTAGCAAAGAGCACCGCAAAAATGGATTAAAAAAACACCAGAAAAATAGTAACATCTAGCACATTTTGATTTATAGAGGATTTATAATTTCTTTGGCGCAGTCATTGTTTTTAAAAATCTGAGTATTAGATGTTTTAGGCAGCAGCATTTGGAAATTGCAGTGGGTCTGCATCCAAATTTCAACAAGAGTTTCCCTGGGGGAGAGAGCGGAGTCAGTCTGCTCCCAAAAGAGGGTCGCTTAATGCACCGTGCAGACAAGCCCCCTTAGCACTGCTGGAGACATCACATCAACATGAGTGACAGACATCAGCATATCTGTATAGAGTTCAAAGTTGTTGTTTTTCTTTTAAGATTTTTTTAAATATCTTAAGCTGATGAAGGCTAAATTTATTTGTATTATTACAAACATTTAAGTATTTATTTTATATGGCACCAAACATTTTATATGTATATATATATATAGAGATTTTTTTTTTTTAAACAAAGGTTTAAGCCTTTTTTCTTATTAAAATCTCAACACAACAGTTACACAGCCTAGACACGCTTGACCTTAAGCCCTTAAAGGGGTCATATGATGTGATTTCAATTTTTCCTTTCTCTTTGAAGTGTTACAAGCTCTTGGTGCATAAAGAAGATCTGTAAAGTTGCACAGACTAAAGTCTCAAATCCAAAGAGATATTCTTAATAAAAGTTAAGAGTTAACCACACCTACCTAAAATGGCTCGTTCTAACACGCCCCCACATGTCTACGTCATGATGTGGGAAGATTTGCATAACGCCGCCCAAATGTTCACGCAAAGAAAGAAGGCATAACTTTTATTCTCGCTGTAGTATTGTTGCTGCCGCCATGTTGTGAAGACGCTGTGTGTTTCGTTGTGAAAGCGATGTGTTGAAGTCATTGCATATTGTATTTCTGAACAATAACTGATGCAGAAAAAAAATGTGACATTAGCCATTTCTCTTCATTTTCTTCTTTCTGTTTTCCAGATTCCATCTGTGTTTCTATTCTAGTGGCTTTACCTCTTGCCCTCCCTCTCTTTCTTTTCTTCTATTCCTGACCATCAAGAGATTCATGTTATTTAGTAGATTAGGTACCATTACCGGCCATGATTTAAGAGTCAGGAATGGGAGAATGTTGTTGTCTTTATTTGTTAGGCTAGAGGTTGTCAGTAGAAACCAGCTGTACAACTGCCAAGAGCGTAAACTGAGCTACTGTCACTGTGGTAATAATGTCAGACAAAAGCAAAAGTTCTATCACACAATCTGAATGCTGTCCAAATCAAATTCATATTCAGTCCTAGAGCTGGTATTTTTAGGAAACCAAACCTGGATTTTCACAGTAGCAGTTTCTAAGCAGTCTATGTTGTTTGTATTTATCATCATATTCATACCATTGATAAATGAGCTTGTCCAAGACAGAACAGACAGTTACGAGACTGAGAAAAGAGCAAACTTGGAAGAGCTGAATACTGGAGAGAAAAAAAAAACAGTGTAATAATTTCAGAGTTTAATGGCATGTGCAGCGAAGGACTGAATATCTGCTTTTGACAAAAAACAGATCTAGATGTGTTGTTTGTATCAAGTGCAATGAGAACAGCAAATCACAAAGCCCTCTGAAAGCAAAAGCTTATCTACAACAAAGAACAGACAACCACCACAGCCAAATCCTGTAAATATAGAGAGATGCAGAAAGAGAAAAGTGATACATCAGCACAGTGAGCCTGACACAAATACAGTCAAAGAAAATAAAAGACATTAAATATTGTGACAGGAACATTATGGGATCATTCGGAAAAATACTGAGAGAAATCAAACTCAGACTGGATGAATTAAGGCGAGATTTCCTGACGGAGAATCTCTAATCTTTCCATCTTCACTTGAACTACTTGTTTCGCAATCACACACTCCGCTTTGGTTAATTGAACCCCAAACACATCTGTGAGTTTCGAGAGAAGCTCACTGTTATTCTGACTAACACACTCATTCTCAGCCGCATAAAACTATTACTGAACAAGCTGAGCACAACAGGATATTTCCCAATCAGCCTCACGCCAGCCTCAGGCGGTAATGCTGGCCTTTCCTCAACACCCAGTTACCGTTCAACGCACATGTGAATGGTTTTTAAGGAAAAACAAGTTTAACACCGGCTCAGACGAGCCGTTGGGGATGATTAGGTGCTGTTTGGCCCTGCAGGTGTTCAGGCAGAGCTCCAATGTCCGTTCCGGATCCGAGGGGTGGGTGTGAGCACAAGGTTTGGGATGGGATGAGGTGAACGCAAGAGAAGCGCTGCCTCAGGGGGGAGAACCGAGACATCCGGAATAAAGGCATGGGGTTTAACTCACTGAACAAACGCTATCCTGATCTGGATTTAGAGACTGATTCAGCACCTGTAAAAGTCATCCTAGATGAAAGTGTGAGGCATGTTAAACCATAACTGTCACGTCCAGTAAGAAATCAGCCTGGCATAATATCATATATCTCTTTACAATCATTTTACAAGATTGCAGGGTTATGTGTGTGCATTAAGAAGAAAAAGGACATGCTTGTTATTTGGGGCTGTTTGTACTTGCAATTCAAGACTAGCAGCCTCATAATTTATTATTGATTTAATACTGAATGCTGAAATCACTTGGGTGCATCGGCCTGATGGTCTAATTTGATTGGTCTTGATATCGAAATGCATTTAGTGAACAAAAGTGTCCTTTTGTCAATGTACAGTACCTTATTTTTGTGCTCTAATTTGAATATGAAATAAAATGTACCTAAACATTTCTTGAACAAAATATGCATTTGTAATACAGAAAGAGCCCTTTGTTTACAAAATTAGGCTTCCTTAAAAGAGAAATAAACTTGCAATTTTGAGGGGGAAAAAAAGCTAAACATGGGATTGCAAGAAATATAGATAAATATGGTGTTATAAACCCGCAATTCTGAGAACGTCGGAATTGTAAGCGAGATTGCGAGATATAAAATCACAATTCAAAGTAAAAAGTCGTAATTATGAGATGAAATTCACAGAATTCTGAATTTACAAGATGTTTACTCAAAATTGCAAGACACAAACTAAGAATTGCTATATATTGTTCTAAACCCACAATTCTGAGAAAGAAATTGCAAAATATAAAATCAGAAGTGGAGAAATTAATTCTCAGATATAAAAATCACAATTCTAAGAAAAAAAATTGTGAGATGTTACCTTAAATTGCAAGATATAAATTGGAATTTCGAGAAATTAAGAATTTTCCAAATAAAAAGTCAATAAACTTTTTTTATTCTGTAGTAGAAACAGATGAGAAAAACAAAAAATGCTGTTAACTGAATGTATCAACTAAATATATAAATCAACTAACCAAGTAAACTAATATTTAATATTTACCATTTAGGTTTTCATGAAATGACAATATAAAATTTAATTTTTACTTTCACATATAATTAAAAAATACATCATATGTGTTACATACAAAAATGTATAATTTGTCAGTACTTTACACACCCTTGTGCCAGTGAGTGTGCGTGTGTGGTAGAGGAACTGGTGATTATCATTAAGTAATTAGCCTTAAGTGTGTTGCTGACCTCTGCATTTAACAAATAACACATTATCATTGTGCCAAGCATCTGGATATGGAAGAGTAAATGGAAACAAGCTTTTACAGTCTCAGTTACTGAAGCATCTCTCTCCATTCACACAAGTTAGCACAGATCTACACATAAACAAGTCCTCCGAATGTTTACTTACAGTCTTACTCTGACTTTTCACTTTTGCCAGCATTAAGATACAGTGTTTTGTCATTGACACTGGGCTTGTCCTGTGCTTTTATTTACAGAGACTTTGGAGCACGGATCAAATAAATCTGACAGGTGCGTATAACCAGAACTGCCACGCATCTAAAAAAGACCCCTTCACATTATTTCAGACTTTTGGTTTCAGATTTAGTATGTAAGAATGACTTTGAATACAGCTACTGAGCATCGGTCCGTAACAGGCCTTTTGTATGTTAACAGAAGCATGCAGAAGGAGAAGGGACAGAGGAAAGATGAGACATACTGGAGGGAGATCAACGCAGCCATGGCCCTCACTAACCTGGCTCAACCCAAGGGCACGGCCACCGCTGCCACCACCAGCTGCATCATCCAGAAATCCTCACACATAGCTGAAATCAAGACTGTTAAAGTGCCTATCCTGCACAAATACTAATGCTCAGAAGATGCCGCTCTTCTACTTTTGGAATTCAGTTGGTTTGAATATTGTTTATTACTTTGTGGTACTGATAAAGAATGAATTTCTTTGGTTCGTTTGTTTTTATTGTTATTATGAGTGCCCTGAAATGCAGCACTTGTTTAGTTCACCGATTTGTGCATTTCCTTTGGGCCGCACAAGCTTTTTTTGATAAGTGTTGATGAATTGTCAGTAACGACAGTATTTCTGAACGAGACACTTTTGCAATGTTAACTTATTTTGATATTAATCAGAAATTTGTATTGTATCGCACCAAAGTGCCTTCATGCATCTCAAAGGAGAGCTTAGTGAGAATGTACAGTTCATGTCCTCGCTAAATGAAATAAAAGGGTTGTAACGACAGGAGGAGTGTGTAGCGCACTCTTCTCGCAGCCTACAGGAGCTGATGACCTTGGCGCAAGTCACAAAGACATGCACGTGAGCCTAAGGCCATTTCTGCATGTTTTGTCTTCAAATCTCATGTGGCTGTGACTATGACATTGTTTTGTCTCTAAAATGGAAAACTTCAACTGTCACCTGCCAGCAATAGCCGTGAGCAGAGATAAGTTCAGTCAGCCAACATCAAATTCCAGGCCTTCCTTCCCAGCTAACAAGCAATGTTCTCCAAACTTTGGCAACAAACGTTCTTACGGTAATGTTAAAAGCACATTTGTTCATTTATGTTGTCTTTAATAACATTAGCACAAAAACGTAATCATTCATGGAATGTTTCATTTCTGAAAAGTTCTAGTTGCTATTTGCTGCAAAACGTTCAGAGAACATTTCTATAATGTTTGCAAAATTGCAACGTTCCCTTAACGTTTGCATAGCCAAAAAATGACCTTTTTTAATGTAATGAAACGTTCTTTGAACATGTTTTTGTTAGCTGGGTTAGTTTCTGCTTCCTCTCATACACTCTCAGTTATGCACATTTCTCAGACAAACAATGAGAAAGAGAGAGACAGACTTCAAGGTTTGGTCTGTATCTGTTTGAGACGAGGACTGTGACCCAAAGGGATATTTATGAATCCATTATCAGTGCTAAACCGAATGTGTTGCCTTCTCACGTTTCTACTCTGAACAAGGTACTTCAGTGGAAGCAGTAAATGATTTGGCCAGTCGTGTTTTACCCCCTTCTCTCTCTCAGATGGTTAGAATTACTCTCAAATTGCTGTTTACAAGAAGTACGGGAGACACTTTTATGTAAAAAAAAAAAAGAAGAAAAAAAACAAACCATAGCAGTATTACCACATCTCTGATTTAGTGAACGTTCAAACTTTTTTTGCAATCTCCTTTTGGTTGTCCTGCGGTTTTAGCTCTTTTAGTTAGTGTTTTTGCCTTTGGTTCAACCAAGCTGTGTTAGTCTTGTATTGACTGAATGGAAAGAAATGATGTTCAATGCAAATGTTATGTACATTAGAGTTAGAGAATTAAAAGCCACTTTTAGTGAGTGAGGTAACACTATCTTATGTTGGTTATCTTTTTGTTTTGTTTTTGCTTGTGGTGAGAAGGCCAAAGAGACTTGTTCAAAAAGTTGCATGCACTTATCTGACTACACCCTCCTGCCTTTTTTCAGTATTAAAAATAATACTCACAAACACCTACTGAGACTTTAATTCATAGGCACTATGTCCCTGTTTTCCTGCTCAGCAGAGTAGTGTAGCACATTTTTAGAAAATGTCCTAACAAAACTGGGAAAATGTATGATCTGATCTGCTTTTGAAATCTAATTTTCCTTTCATTTTTCAAATCACATGTGAATCTCTTTTGGCCTTTGCAGAGAACAAAGAGAAGAGAAAGCATCAATCTGAGTTTTACTAATTCTGTTTTTTTTTTTTAATTCCCTTGCACACTCGGCTCTAAAGGAACCTGACAGACAAACAGCTATTTTGTGCTCACTTTAGAACATTTCAAATGATTCAAGACTGTACAAACAAACTTGTAATAATAGTCTGATTTTTTTTTTATTGTTAAGTTATATACTTTTTTTATTTTAGAGACTGGATGTTTATCCAATGAAGGAATGCATAATATCACATTTATTCTCTGAAAAGGACAAAACCTTGTTTACTTCAACGAAACATTAAATAAAAATGTTTTTTTGATGACAAGATGTTGCTTGGTGTTTCATCATTAGCATTTGCTTTCTGCACAATCCTCTGAAATCCTTCTTCATATAAAACCTGATCAGAGATATAATTGGTAACATTTAAACATAGGGTATCCATCTGAGTTTGAACTTCAGTTTCTCTATGAATAAATATGTTTAAAATGAATACATTCCTAACAGAAATGTTTTAGGGCCAACTTAGGTTGAATAATTCACACTGCATTGAGACAAACATGACATTTCACTAATTTGTTTCTGCGGCTTGACCTGAGTGAGTTCAGATGACAAGCTTCTCCTTTCTTTTTTAGCCTCTGTTAACTTGGCCAGAGGCAGAGACCTTGTTTGCCTTCACGCTGGTTTCAGCCCAGTAAATACAAAAACACCGCACAGCACAAACAGAGCTGGAAATGGAAGATGAGAATGGAAGTCTGTGATCTTGTCTTTCCTTAAGGGTTTAATCCTGAACAAATGCTGGGAATGGACACATAGTGTTCGCTGTGCTATTTACTGTGTACAGCACAAAGTGACATGAAGCTGCGCTCTTCATTTAGCTAAACAAATCATCAGTTAAGGCCTCTGCCGTCTAAGTGAAGCATTAAAGGTGGGGTAAGCGATTTTTCAAAAACGCTTTAGAAAACTGATTTGGGCCGACTAGCAAAACAAACTTGTAGCCAATCAGCAGTAAGGGGTGTGTCTACTCATGATGTGGAGGAGAGAGCGTTCAGTGCACAGGACGGACATTAGTGAGCTGAGCGACAGAAAGATAGAGATGGTGGATAAAAAACAAAAGAGGAAAACGTCTGCGGAACAATAGAAGGCTTAAGGCAAAAAGTAGGACCCGTGTAAATATCGGATCAGCTTTCCAGTGCTGGAGAGAACTCAAGGAGTGGAAGGCCTGCGATCGGACGCCGAGGTTGCTTTGTTTCTTCTCGATAGGTGAGTAACACCGTGTCTGCGCCGCAACAGCTAAAGTCCGTCTAGTACACTGGACACAAAGCGACCGTTGAAAATCATTTGAAATTTGTGTCAATACGTCATAAATAGAACGCAGCAGCAGTTATCTGTCGGGGATTTGTCATGTCGCGCCGCATCCAGTGTAGACCATGGATATGTATATATATCTATGCTGTAGACAGTATCACTGATTATAATGAGTTCTATAGTATTTTGTCGCGCCACTCGCGTCTGGTGTAGACACGGTGTAACATTGGTTTTGCTTTGTTTCACAGAACTAATCTTTGCCTGGGTTGCGTACGTATGTGTGGGGCGGAGCAATCAAAATAGGGGCGAGACACTTTTGGGGTAGGGGCGTGTTTGTTTTGCTGATTTCAAATGTCAACATTGGCTACCAGAAATCGCTTACCCCACCTTTAATGTGCATTTCATTTACAGTACATAGTTAGTTATTCATGAGCTGATCCACAAACCTTGACAACAGCATCAGGCTGGAGATGCGAACACCCATTTTCGGCTTTTTAGGCCTCAAACTAAAGCATCTATCTATATACACTCTCACAAATACATATAGTGGCCCCAGAATGTATTTAGAAACTCAAGTCAACAAAAATCATCATTGCTGTAGATACAAAATGTCAAAACCCAAGAATGAGATATTTTGCATTAAAGGGTGCACTTTCTAATTTTTGTTCTGTAAAGCACAGACATTCATATGTTTTAAAACAAAGTGAGAAACACTTTTTCCAAACACTTTTGTGGCCACATACAATGCCCACACACTCTTGCTAACCTTGTTGTCAATGAACAGTCTAAAAAAAACATACAAAAGAACATCAACACAAGAGAGAAAATATCAACAATGAGTGAAAGATGAATAAAAACAAACAGAGCCACCAAGATTTCCTGACTGTTTAGCCTCCAATCTCTGTCCTGATTTATCTCGCTCATTTACTCCAGCATCCCTCTTTCACATTAATGGTTCTAGCATGCTGCTTGGCCTGGTTCTAAAAAATGTGGAATCCATGGTTAAACATGCCAGTCATGTAGAATGCGGGTGAGGCATGAGGAACAGAATAAGAGAGAGAAAGAACTTCAGCCTTCATTTTTAGTATTTAATACACATAAACAAGGATGTAAAACTTCTCGGAGGTATTGTTATATACTATTACATAGTATTATAAATATAATGGGATGCTGATGGACTGAAAAAAAACTGAGGGAGGATGGCTTTCAGATCACATCATTATCAGACCTCCACCATAAAGGCCTCTGGCACAAATCAAGTCCCCTTGTCTCTCTTTAGCTCTCTCTGTCCTACTATTGTCTCTCCTCTGTTCCCCCAGTTTCTCTCTAAGCAGGCTGGCAAAGCCTAGTGCTCTGAGCAGAACTTTCCATCGAGGCAATTTGCTGAAATGTTTGAGCAGGTTTTGTGGATCTCACCCATTATCTAGCTGAACAGGTTGGGATGCTGGGCCGGCCAGCTGTGTGACACACTCCAGACGTCTCTCCACCCTTCTCATCAGACACGGGGTCCAAGTTGCTGTCAAACACTACACACACACAATCTGAGCACAAAGAAATTCCAAAAATCATCTGAACAGGGAAAAAGTGCTTCAGTCAGATGAAGAAATTTGACCCGTGTCCCATATTGGAATAATTAGGTACTTTGCCTCGATGGTCTATTGGTTCATTAATTATAAATTGCCTGTATGGAGACACACAGGATACAGAGTCCAGAACCTGAGCACTGATTAGCCACTGGGTCAGATACTATTCCAACCCTATACTGATTATAAATGTACATTTATTACATATTTTGTCCATTATGCACAACAAAGAAAATTAGTACATATATAAAATTGATTTATGTGTGTGTGTGTGTGTGTGTGT